CCTGAGGCTTATTCATTTCCCTTTTGGTGTGAAAGGGCTTTTACAGTTGCCAAAAATATAACTTTTGGGTTTTTTGTTATTAAAAAACAAATAAGTAAGCTCAGTCCAGGTGACAAAAAAGTAAAAGCAAAAAACTGTTGTATGAATACTTTCGCAAGGCACTGTGTATATATATATATAATTTTTTAGCCTAATGTCATAATGTCAAAGGATTACTTCTTTTATTTCCTGCAAAATGTGCAAGGCATTGCATTTTATACTCTTATCATACACCAATTAGTCTCTCATCAGTTCTTTCAAAAACAGTTACTGATTTTGTCCATATTTTCATTTTGCTGGCTCAATATCAGTTTATCACATGAAGTTCTGAAGTTATGCCAATAAACAAATAAAAAACGATTTCTAGCTAGATGTCTGATGGTAACCTTTGTGAAAAATACACTTCAGCATACTTTTAAAAAGAGATCATGTATCGGAAATAATGTGCTTAATATACTATAGAATATACTCCTACTAATATATACAGTTTTCAGACACTTAATTGCTTATTACCGGTAATTGCAATTAAATGAAAATGTATTATAGTTTAAACTTATATTAAATTCAATGAACTTAAGAGTGCTTTTTGGCCCACTAAAATGTATCATTATACAGTATGTAATTTCATAATTGTTGTCTTTGCAATATGGATAGAGTATTCTGCTGAATGTATTGACAAGCATTGATGATAAACTAGAATATATTTTAATATCATTTTGGTAACACTTTAGATTAGGAAACACATATTCACTATTAACTAAGAGTTTTCCCTCAATAAACTCATTTCTCACGAAAAAATAATTTGCTGCTTATTGATAGTAAGTAAGGTAGTTGTTGTAGTTAAATTTATATATTGGGTGGAGTTAAGATATCTAGAATACAGTGGCGATAATGTGTTTTTTTAACTTTAAACCGCATAAACACATTTCATTACACCAAATACACAAAATAATGTTCTTTTTAGCAGCATCATATGACCCCTTTAAAACTAAATCAGTAATTCTGATAGTGTTTAGGCCAGCAGAGACGGCTTTGCTGGCCCTGACGGCCCACCACTACTAGAATATGGTCATGCAGAATAAGACATTAATATGTGCTTTATAAGTATTAATAAACAGCCAACATGCTAGTAATATGCACGCTAATAAGCAACTAGTGAACAGTGTTTCCTAATCTAAAATGTTACTGTCATTTTTATTAAAACTTGCAATATCAAACACACTGCAGTAGAAAAATTAAAATCAAGTTACTTTACATTCTTTAAAGCATGATAAAATATTGGTAAAACAATGATTTAAAATGTATTTTAAAGTACATTTAATTGAACAAAGGGTAACACTTTATTTTAAGGTGGCCTTGTTACACGTTACATGTACTTACTATTATAATAACAATTAATTATGCATAATTACATGTAAGTAACCCAAACCCTAATCCTAACCCTAACCATACAGTAAGTGCATGTAGTTAATTAATATTACTCCGCACTTAAATGTATAATTACACTGTAACAAGGACACCTTAAAATAAAGTGTAACTGAACAAAGTGCACTATGTGTTCAGAAACATGAAAGTATCTCACTGTAAGTACACCTTTTATTTCAGTAATATTATATGATCTGCAAGTACAGCTTTTTAAAAATATATATACTATTAAGATTTGAAGTACACTACACGTGCACATCTAATACAATTAAGCACACTTTTTTTCACAAGGGCACCTGTTTGATCTGATTTGATTGCATTGAATAAAAAGTGAGACACTAATCAATGACATTTGCACTCATCTACCAGACAGTGGCTAATATTTACTCCCTAAATCCCATGTGAGTCTCATCCGGTGTTTGTTGAGTGTTGATTTGTGTGTGTGTGTATTAGTTGTGGTGTGTGTTGATTGGGTCTCGTGGGTTTGTTGTTGCAGGTACGAACATGCTGAGTGGACACCACATGCAGTCTAACGGAGATGTGAATGGAGCTCATGCGTCTCAGTCTATAGTGTCCACCTCTCACTGTACCCCTCCCCCACCTTACAACCCCGACCCCAGCCTCGTCAGGTACTACACCCTGCAGTAGCACCAACCTGACACACACACACACACACTAGACATGATGTACGGCTCCTTTTTACAACACTGCGGTTTTAAATAGCAATTTATTTTTATAACATTGTGGCTGAATTCAGCCTGATGTGTCTTATCAACAGTGGCTTCAGGTTGTCCTGTTATATTAGGATAAAGAGACCTTAAAGGGATAGTTCACCCAAAAATGAAAATTTGATGTTTATCTGCTTGCCCCCAGGGCATCCAAGATGTAGGTGACTTTGTTTCTTCAGTAGAACACAAATGATGATTTTTAACACAAACCGTTGCAGTCTGTCAGTCTTATAATGGTGGTGAATGGGAATCATGGCTTTGAGAGTCAAAAAAAACAGACACAAACAAAACCAAATTAAACCCTGCGGCTCGTGACGATACATTGATGTGTAAAGACATGAAACGATCGGTCTGTGCAAGAAACTGAACAGTATTTATATCGTTTTTTACCTCTGATGCACTGCAATGTCCGAACTGTCCTGAGCGCGTCCTCGACAGCCGGTGCGTGATGCATCTTCTTCTTCTTCTTGCTTTACGGCGGAGCACAGACTTATAAGTGCATTACCGCCACCTATCTCTCAAATGGACCATTGACACTCTATCTACAATCTCAATTAGGAGTGTCAATGGCCCACTTGAGAGATAGGTGGCGGTAATGTACTTATAAGTCTGCAGTTTGAGTTAAAAATCTTCATTTGTGTTCTACTGAAGAAACAAAGTCACCTACATCTTGGATGCCCTGGGGGTAAGCAGATAAACATCACATTTTCATTTTTGGGTGAACTATCCCTTTAAATCATTCAAAATGCCTCTTTAGATGCATCTCTATTTCTCCTCCACTTCCTCATTTGTCTTTACATAGTTAGAATCATGGAATTACGGTATATTGATGCTTTTTCTTTTGTGCTAATACACAAAAGAGGATTGTGATTGTAATGAAACCTTTGCTTTTAAAGAGGCTTTTGGTTTCTTTTTCAGACTTAACTATTTGTACATAAGAGTAATATCTTTCTAAATATTTCTCTGCTGGTCAGAGAAGCTTTTTGACTTCAAATTACACTTTAGTGTGCAAAACATGTAAACCTTTTTCATTAATATACATGTCATATCAATTGTTAACCACTTTATGTTCCATAATTATGCATACGACTGATCCCACACAGTTATTTATCTCATCGGGCTGGATGGGGGTGGCGAGGTGCCTTTCTGGTTAATGGCCTGTGCAATTTCATCAGTAGGGTGAATCTCACAAAAAAACATGTCTGGTAAACCCCAAAATCAAAAGAAAAATAATAGAAATTATATTTTGCTTGATTGGTTTTAAGCACCATTTAAATTTTTTTGCATTGTAACATTATTTTCATGACAATTAAACTCATTCCCCCCATTTAAATACTCAATACTGTAATTTTTTTTTTTTTTTTTTGTCCCACACAGTTATTTATCTCATCGGGCTGGATGGGGGTGGCGAGGTGCCTTTCTGGTTAATGGCCTGTGCAATTTCATCAGTAGGGTGAATCTCACAAAAAAACATGTCTGGTAAACCCCAAAATCAAAAGAAAAATAATAGAAATTATATTTTGCTTGATTGGTTTTAAGCACCATTTAAGTTTTTTTGCATTGTAACATTATTTTCATGACAGTTAAACTCATTCCCCCCATTTAAATACTCAATACTGTAATTTTATTTTATTTTTTTTTGTGTGTAATTCTCATTGTTCTGAATAGTAATTTTTCATTAAATGAAAAAAATTAATTTTCTCACTAGACTAGTTGTTTAAAGGCAGCACAACAAATACTACCATTTTATATATATATATATATTTTTTTTTTTACAATTTAAATAACATCATCTTTGTATTTTTATTACAGAATTGAAAATTGTTATGATAATTAAAATGTGGAATATAAAAAATGGTAATATAATA